TTTTTTTTTTTTTTTTTTTTTCTTTTTGTCTTTTTTCGTGACCGGCAACGGATTGCAACCCTCAGTGTCACGTCCATACCGGACCAGGACCGGCAACGGGATCGCAACCCTCGGTGTTGCGTCTGCACCTCGCTCAGCCAGTGAGCGGCCGGTCTGTATGTGGGATCCGAACCCTCCGCGGGAGCGCCGCCGCACTCTCAAGCGGCGCACTGTAGCAGTGCGCCACCGGGCCGGCCCACACAGAAGTTTCTGAAAGGGTGCACAACCAACCCAACGACCTGGGAGGCTGTGGTGGGGTGGGGGAGGGTGACTCCTTGCTGGGTACACCAGTGGCCTTCAGAACTGAGAACTATGCCAACGCGAGTCCTGGCTGAGTCAGGTGGGGGCCGGCGCCCTCACCTGTACTCCCGCTCCTGCAGGATCTCCACAGGGTCAAGGCCCCTGGGCTTCTGGATGGGGGTAATGCGGCTCTGCTTCTGGTGCAGCGGCACCATGGGGGCGGGCTGGGCCGGCTGCCCTGGGGACTGAGTCTGGGGCGGCATCACAGGTGAAGCGGCAGGCGGGACAGTGGGGGGCGCAGGTGAAGGGCGGCCCGTTGGCTGTGGGGGGATCAGCTTCTGAGGGGTGCTCGTGGGGGCAGCAGCATTCGCCATGGGTCCTGGTGAGAGACAAGCAGCAGGGGCACCATGGTGAGATCTGGGGCCAATTCTGGGGTGGACATGAGAAGCCTAGTGGGCTGCCCACTGCCCTGGGGACAGATAAGCCCCTCCCCATCTCCACCTCTCACAAAGCTGCCACATGCTTCTCACTTAGGGGTCTCAGCCTCACCCCCATCCCCCAAGCCCTCCACTGATACAAGCCATCTGCATCCTGGGTCTGCTCAGCCAGGTGCCAACCCTGGGTTCTGTGGTGGGCTGTAGCCTCACACGGCCACATTTTCCTGTCCTTCCTCTACTCCTTCTCTACTTCCTCATCTCCAATTGAGCTCAATTTTAGCAATTTGCTCTTAAAAGACCATCACTAAAACTCAGGCTTCAAGAGGATGGTGACAAATCTGTTTTGTCTACTGCCTCTACCCTAAACACATGTGGGCCCTCAAATAGTTACTGGGTGACTGCATTTACAGAAGACAACACGAAGCCTCAGAGAAGGTCAGGGACCGGGCCACAGCCACATACTATCAGAGGAGGGGACAAAACCAAACCCAAGACTTCAGGAACTGACCAGGGACAGGTAAGACCTGAAGAAGACCACAGGAACAGTGGGCTTTGGATTGGGGTGACTGTCTTCGGCCCTCTCTCTCTCTCTGACCAGGCTCAATCGAGACCTGCACAGCCCAATCTTGTGACAGGGAGTCAGGGCACAGATGTGCCACTGAGATAGAAGGGAACTTACCTTCAGGCCAGGGTTTGGGAGGCCCTCCGGGGGGCTGGCCTGGCATACCAGGGGGCACACCTGAGGGTCCAGGGGGTGGCATGTTGGGCCCTCCCATACCTACAGGCAGGGAGAAACAAAAGGGAATAAAATGTGTCCTGTGTTTATATCGCATCCCCGTGGGGATCCCTGCCTCCAGGAGATACAGGGGGACACTCCTATCAACAAGTCCCTGGATCTGGGACTAGTGGAAAAGAGGACAGCCATCTCACCTGCCTAAGCACACGGAAGAGCCAAGCGGGCACTGTGAAATCTGAGGGCAACAGCCCGTCAGCAGCAGAACCCAGGTCTCCCCACCCCTGCCACCCACACTCTGGCCAGTTCACTCTGAGACTCCTCCCTACCCTCAGGGCCGTGGCGACCGACCTTACCATGAGGCCTGCTATAATTTGGAGGCGCTGGTCCTGGACCAGGGACAGGCACAGGGCCAGGGCCAGGGCCAGGTCCTGTTGCAGACACAGAGGGTGGAGGTAGTGCTGGCATCTGCTGCTGCATGCCAGGCATCGGCCGCTTTCCCTGCACCGCCATCTGCAGGTGGTCGGGCAGGGGCTGCCCCCTGGCCAGCATCTTGTAGGCCATGATCTGTGCTCGCAGCTGGTGCAGCTGGTTCTGGTTGAATGGGGTCGGTCCCCGGTTCTGCTGCCCCAAGGCCTGGGGGTCAGCACCATCCAGAGGGGCCCCTCCTGGCACTGACGACATCTGGGAGCCCGAGGACGGGCCGCTGGCTGGAACTGGACTGGAGGCATGCTCGGAGCCGCCCAGGGGTGAGGGGTAACCTGTGGGGAAAGGCCAGTGCACTGATTACTAGGCAAAATGTGTTGTGATTTCTCAGGCAGAGGTGGTAACCTTTCCACCACACCTACACCAGCTCCTGCCCTGACACAGGGAGCGGCAAGATGACTCCATTCTCATGAGTCAAACAAGAGGCACCAAGAGGGAACACAGTGGAGTCACAGCAGCCCAGAAGCCTGCATGGTAATTCTGGTTTGGCCCACATGTCAAAAAGGTGCTGATGGTTAACGCTGACAGCCGTGACATGAAATTCAGGCTCTCCCCAGCCTGCCCTCCTGCCTGCACATGGGTGGGGTGCATGCCCTCTGGTGGGCCAGGAGTGGAGCCCCTCAGCTTCCCACCCCGGGAGACAGGACAGGCTTGGAAAGTCATCTCCGACATCACTTCTCAATTGCCCCCATACAGAAAAGCCACCTGTGGGCTGGCCAGTTAGCTCAGTTGGTTACAGTGCAGTGTTGGTAACACCAAGATCAAGAGTTCTGATCCCTGTAACAACCAGCCACCCCCAAAAAAAGCCACCTGCAGGGCTTGTGAAGGCTGAGTCCTGGGCCCCAAGAATGCGTATTTCTAATAAACTCTTGGGTGGCACCAGAGCTGCTGGCCCATGGACCCCATCCTGCCCAGCCCCTGGCTATCCCACCAATGTTTGTTCTCCTGGGGCTGCTCCAAGACAAGAGGGCCAGACGGAGTAGCAGCCAAGTCCGGATCAGACAGCCCTCAGTGGCAGGGCCGCCCACTGGCCTGAACTGTCCAGGATCCTCCCTGAACCCATCTGTGGCAGCCCCCATGTGGAAAACAATCTCAGGACCCCTGGCGTGCAACACATACGAGAAGGGACGCAGTACGTACCTTGGGAGTGCTGGTCCATGGGGCTGGGTGGGGGCCCCATCCCTGCATGGCCCCCCGACCGCATCCCCAACCCCTTCATCTGGTTGTATCGCGGGTCGTCCGACATGCCCTTCTCGTGCATGGACTCCATGGGCTACAAGAGGGGACAACCACACGGCAGGGTCAGCAATGGAAGACAGGAAAAGGCCACACCGCAAAGCACTGCCTGAGTGAAGTTCGACATCACTGAAAACATCCACCAGACGCCAGTGGGGCGTCTACTGAATTGCCCACATGACCAAGTGGCTTAGCTCCAAGGCTTGGGCATCGAGGCAGATACACAAAATAAACGCCACACAGTGGGGGGTGACCACCTGGGAGACTGAGGCCTGGAAGCAAGGGGACACTAGGGAGCCAGGGAGAGGGCAGGGAGACATTTCAGGACACAAGGAAAGGACACACTTGTGACGGCTCCCGGTCAGGGAGCAGTTTTAGCCAGGACACCGGGCTCCCTGCTCATCATCACAGGGAGGAGACCACAAATCAGGAGATCAAGGACCCTCTTCCTAGGGAGACTGTGAATCAGAGGAACAGACAGAAACTTCTGCCCACAAGCACTGTCACGATATGTCAGACACCCTCACTGATAGCTCCACCTCCCTGGACCGCCCTCTGGGAGGAGGCTGCCCCAAAGCACCCTCCTGCCCCTCCTAAGAGTGACAGCAGCCTCCACAGAATGACAACACATAGGCCCCTCCTGATGCTCAGTGTAAGGACCCCCCCTGTGGGAATGGCTGGTAAAGGGGACACTGGCTGAGACCCTTTTGGGCACCTGTTAGGCACTGGTTAGCACGAATGTCCTGCTCTCTGGGAACGCAGTCTAATGGGTGTCAGGCACGGTAAAACCTGCCTGGCGTGTGCTGTGAGACAGAAGGAGGAGAGAGGGCCAGGACAGGAGCACGAGCACAAGCGGCAGCTTCCCCAAAGACAGGGCGGGACCTTCAGGACAGTGGCCAGACCCCAAGGTGCTGTGAGTGCTGACTGATATGTGGTCTTGCCTCGGGGCAGAGCCAGAGCTCTATGTGTGGGTGGGTGGAGGGGTGTCCTGTCACCATGGGACCCCAGCTCCTAGCAGAGTGCCAGACACATGACAAGCGTCCAATGGGCTATTGCCAGATGTGTGCAGAGTATGGGAGCAATTCCAGAAAGAAGAAATGAGGCAGGCAGAGAGGGAAAGTGGGGACAGAGGTGGAAGAGAAACTGGTCTGTAAATCAGTGAGCAGGGGATATAACCATCAGCTTCCCAGCAGGGAAGTGACAAGAAAGATTACATCGTATCAAAGCGGCAGAGATGCCCGGGAGGTGGGAAAGGTGTGGAGGGGCTGCCTTGACATGCTGGAAGCTCAGAAGCAGCACATACTGGAGGTGCAGGGAGAGCCGGGAGAGGGAGACCAGGCAGGCTCGCTGAGACCCAGCTTCCTCATCTGTAAAATGGGTGCAATAACCAACTACACCCAATGGGCAGGGATAGGGGTTAAGTAGAATGAGGTGAAGACACATGGACGGGCCTGGAAGGGCAGTGGGAGGAATCAGCAGTGCCAGACCTGTGAGGGGTGAGTCACATTCCCAGGCTTCAACGTCCACATCTGCCACCACTCGACACTTAGAACTGTCACCTTTTCTTTCCAATGCTAACATACATAAGGGATGTTTCAGTGGGAGGAATCAGCAGTGCCAGACCTGTGAGGGGTGAGTCACATTCCCAGGCTTCAACGTCCACATCTGCCTCCACTCGACACTTAGAACTGTCACCTTTTCTTTCCAATGCTAACATACATAAGGGATGTTTCTTCCAGCCACCCACAGGAACACAAAAGGAGAGGAAAATTACTCAGCTGGGTTGTGAAGAGGTTCTTTCACCTCATGGGAAAAGCAACCCTGATCAGCTCAGGTAGATGAGTAAGATGGGGGCCGAGCCCGTGGCGCACTCGGGAGAGTGCGGCGCTGGGAGCGCAGCGTCGCTCCCGCCGCGGGTTCAGATCCTATATAGGGATGGCCGGTGCGCTCACTGGCTGAGCGCAGTGTGGCCGGTCTCAAAAAGGACAAAAAAAAAAAAAAAAAATTGGGTAAGATCGTGGCCCTGGTGTGGAGATTACACGGAGATGAAGGTGCCCACTTCTCTGCCCCATGAGCTCGGAACAGCCAGAATGGAGGAAACCACGTGCCTTAAGCCTTCTTTTATGGATCTGGACATTTTTCTTCACTAATGAAAGTAAACTTAAGAGCAATGTTCCGAAATTTCCCCTGAAGAACAAGGGGTGTGAGTGACAGGATGGGATGGCTACAGGCACACAGGGGTGGTGGGGGGTGACAGGGATGTACTGCTCACCCCTCCTGGCTCAGAAACAGATCGTGTGGACCCAGCATGGGTTGAGGGTCCTGCACACCTGACCTCTCTGCTCATGGCAGTGGGCCCTGGGGTAAGTGTCTGAGCTAAGCCGGGCCAGTTTGAACAGGGGGCTTTCCCCTCTGATCTCTGAGGGAAGCTCTCAGTCCAGAGGCCGCCTGCAACCCAGGGACAAGGGTGTGGGCAGCAGGGCAGCAGGAAGCAGGAAGCACGCCCTGAGGGGTGGGGTGCACACAGGGCTCCCTACCTTGTGCATCTGGTGCATGTTATCCTGCGGGTACCCTCCAGGCCCCTGGGTCTGGATGGGGTGTCCTGCTGAGGGAGGCCCCGGGCTGGGTCCCATCATGCTGTGGGCAGAGCCCGGTGAGGGACCCGGGCTAGGGCCCAGCATGGCTCCAGGCGAGGGGCCTGGGCCTGGGGAAGGTCCCGGCCGAGGAGTCCCGCCCAGGGGTGGGTCTGGAGTGGACATCTTCACGGGAGCTGCAGACAGTGGTCTCCTGCTGGAAACAAGTCCTGGTCAGTCTGGGGGTCGTGGCCATCAGTTGAGCAGGTCATGGACAGCAAGGGAGGACCACACATGGTTACGTCACAATCATCCACCCAACGGTGAGCTGGCACCTTTGACCCCTGCTTCCCAGACCTTTTCTCATCAATCCCTCTCGGAGGAAGTAATGCATCCCAGGTATAAAAAATCAGGCAGGAGAGCCCACCTGGGAAGGGGTGGGACTCAGGAGGCCAGGGGCACACAGACAAGACCCAGGTCATACTGCCATATTGCCTCACTAGGGCCTTTGGCTTCTCTTGCCATCTTTCCCATCACAGCAGAGAACGTCTCAGGGGGGTGCTAATTTAGTGTTTACATCACTTTTAATGCTTGCTAATCCTCTGATTTAACAGAAAGGGAGAATAAGGCTAAGGCTCCAATGATACCTGCCTGGAACTTCATAAATTCAACAAAAACAAATATTTATGGCAAATGACACTGGTTTACCACTGAAGACAGCGAGACTAAATTTCCTTTAAAATAAATGAATTTAACTTTCAAAAGTAGGGCCATTTAAAGAAAAGTATTACATAAATAATGGTGCTCAGATATCTCAAATACTTCAAGAATGACTTCCAAATGTCTAAAGCTTGGTGAATATTGCTATAAACTAAAAATTGATACCCAGAACTATGACCCAGAGCCACCACAAGATCCAAAAGTCAGCTTAAAAAATCTAGTGATATTGGTAAATTATGCTTGCTATGATAGGACCACAGGCTGGTAAAGTTTATAAATGCTTTCTATCACAAGACTTCAAATTTTAGGTGACCCTCAGTCTGTTATGTAGTTATATGGTCTGTAAAGTCTGAACGTATGTGTGTCCCCCCCCAAATTCATGTTAAAAACCTAATCCCCAATGTTACTGTCTTATGAGGTGGGGCCTTTTGGGGGTGATTGAGTGGAGCCCTCATGAATGGATTAGTGCCCTTATAAAAGAGACCTCAGTGAGACCCTTTTCCCTTCTGCCACGTGAGAACACAGTGAAAAGATGCTGTCTATGACGAAGCAGGCCCTCACCAGAAATGGGATCCTCCAGCACCCTGACCTGGGACTTCCCAGTCTCTAGAACTGTGAAAAATAAAATGTTTTTGTTTATAAGCTACCCAGTCTAAGGTAATTTGTTATAGGAGCCTGAACAGACTAGGACATGGCCTTACATAAAATTCTCTTTAATGTAATAACCTCTTTCCTGATGATGGAATAATGTTATTTTCATTGCTGACATCTGGAAAACACAAAAAGAACACAGAAACTTAAAATTACCCATAATCCCACCAGACACAAAGGTTAAGTGCTGGCTGCCCCTGCAGAGGGCAAGAAGTAAACCCAGCCTCTCCTGTCCCCTCCCAGGCAGGGTGGGTCAGGTCTGCTTTGCTTGCAGGGGTGGGACTTCTGTGGGAGAGAGGGCTGGGAGACTTCTAGGGTCCACAGGGCCATGAAGATGGAGTAGGTGGCCTGGGCACATCCATCCAGGGTGGACAGCAGCCCTGGTATTGCCACTGGGGACACCGCCTCTCTTCTTGGTTGTTCCACCCACAGACACACACACACTCAATGGAATTTCTCAGCACATTCCAGTCAAGCGTTCCTTCATATAATCTTACCTATGACCACTTCTATCATTTAACAGCCTTCAAAAGACAAACTCTAACAGCTCCATTGCATTTCCTCATCCTGGTGTACCCTGTTTTTTAATGGTCTTTCTTGTTGTGTATGTCACAAATCTGGTTTTTGTTTCTGCTGCCTTTTGTCTTTTAGAATAAATCTCTTTGCCCCTAAACTTTCTTGAACATTTCTGGTTCTACGAATAAATTCTGTAAGAAGTGGAGAAATGTTTTTAATTCTCTTGATTACTTAAAAAAAAAAAAAAAACAAAACAAAACAAAGTTTTAATTTGTAAAGTGAGGGTATTTTCCTGGATTAGATCAAGAGCCCAAACACTTGTGTCTGTCTGTCTAGTTTCCTGGCTAAATAATAGAAGCAGAGAGGACCAGAAACATTGGCAGGGCAAGGACAGGTGGCAGGCACTCCAGCCAAACCGGAAAAGAAAGAACCTGACATGAACAAACCCAAATGTGCTACACTGAGAACATGTCACTCCCTCCTCTGGGCTTCCCTGATTTCCTCTAAAACTCAAGGAACCTCAGTGCCAGACCTTTAAGTAAACCTGATGAGAGCGCTGGAAAATTCATGTCTGCAGCTCACAAGCTCTTTTCCCAAACCCAATAATCTCAGGGAAAACCAGACTTTTTTTTTTTTAAATAAATTTGAGATAAATTCATTTGGAAGCAAAATCTGACCTGATTCTGCTCTGCGTGAATATTCACATATTCTGCTACAGAAAGAGGATCCTGTTTGATTCTGAGGTGTTGCCCCAGCCTCTGTCATGTGACAACAGTCTGTGCCCCACATTAACCTCACTGAGATGCTGATTCTGGAGTCTGGGTTTATCTACAGGGAGGATGAGTCTGCAGTCACACTCTATACGTGGGAAGCCAAGTGACACAGATATGGCTGGGCAGAGGACACTGGCTCCTTGGTGCTCCCCTCTGGGCTCTTCATCCCAACAGTCCCTCTCTCAATGAGGTGGGAAAAGAGACAACAGAACTGCCACACACTTCGGAAACCCTGCATCATCCTGAGGCTTATAGCTTCCTTCCCACCTGAGGATCTTTATTCTAAGTCCAGCCAACTGAAACTGACAGCAAGATGCAAACGAGGCTGTCTAGGGAAAATCATCATTTCCTCTCTAAGGTGGATGCTCCAGCAAACACACGATGGGCTGTGACCCTGAAATCACAGCTCTTCTACAGGTAGTTTACACTCAGCACTACAATGTGTTCCCTCTTCCTCCCACCAACTCCTGTGATACTGCCATGGCCTCCATGAACAGCCCTGACTCACAGTAGCACTAGCTTCATCAACCACCGACACAAGCTCACTGAAGATGCTGCCTCAGAATCGGTTTTTGTGCCCCAATATGGCAACAGCCGCTTTCGAGAGGTACAGGGTTTCACGAGAGGCTTTTAAAAATGGCATTTGATGGTTAGAGCACGGTGTAGTAACACCAAGGTCAAGGGTTTAGATCCCAGTACCGTCCAGCCACAAAGGAAAATTAAATAAATAAAAATAAAATAAAATGGCATTTGTTCCCCAAAGCTGCCACTTCTGAAGTCAGGCTACAGGGAAGCAGGGAAGTGTGCGTAGCCACCGTCAGCAAACTCACTAGTGGACTGAAAGCTCAGACACTTGCAGAGTGACAGTAAAGGGGACCCAAAGAGCGCGGACGCCAGGCAAAACCATCCCAAACCGCGCAACAGAAAGGGCTCTGGCAAACACGGAGGCCCCGGTCAGGCTGCTGGTGCCTGTGCCTGAACAAGGCTGGCCAACTGACGGCATCATCTGAAGAAGCGGGGATGGGCTGGCCAGTCAGCTCAGTCGGTTAGCGCGTGGTGCTGATAACACCAAAGTCAAGGGCTCGGATCCCTACACCAGCCAGCCACCAAAAAAAAGAACCCGAAGAAGCAAGGAGCAGCTTAGGTACACAGCCCGAGGAATCCCAGATCAGACACAGCACTTCCAACATTACAGAAGGTGCCCCTAGGCCTTCCCAATCAACACCACCCTCCTAGGGGAAGCCATTTAGCTTGTTACTGAACTTCAGATAAAAAGAGAAGCATGCAGTAACCTATGGCTTGTCATTCTGTCTAGGAGATCCATGCTGCTGGGAATGGTGGTCACTCATTTGTCCATTCTCCTTTGCCCAGACACTGTGCTACGAGGTTTGGCCAGCATGGCTAAGCTGCCATGAGTGATGTCATTTAGTAGACATGGGGCACTCATTTTCTTTGGGTGGCCAAGAGTGGAACTGGTGGTCATCAGGAAGGCATATGTTTTGCTTTAGTAGATACTGCCGGTTTTCCAAAACAGCTGTATCATCTACACACTGCTGCCCCCAAACAGTGGGAGAGTGTTCTGGTTGCTCCATGTCAACTCCAACACTTGGTGACATTAGTCTTTTTAACTTCTAGCCACAGTGGGGGGTATACAATCCTACCTTGTCATGGTTTTCACTCACATTTCCCCCATGACTAACAGCATGAGCCCCTTCCCATATGCTAACTGACCACCTGGATATTCACTTTTACAAAGTGTCTGAGTTTTCACTAATTACTTATTGGGGATGTGTGGTTTCAATTTCCTTCTCTCTGTGATTGACTGGGCACTTTTAATGGAGTCTTGTGATGAAGAGAAGTTCTTAATTTTAATGAGTTTTTTCTTTTATGGTTAATGTTTCTGGGATCTTATTTAAGAAATCTTAGGGCTAGCTGGTTAGCTCACTTGGTTAGAGCATGGTGTTATAACACCAAGGTCAAGAGTTCTAATCCCCTTACCAGGCAGCCACCAAAAAAGAAAAGAAGAAATGGAAAAAGAAATCTCTGTCTAAAAAATTTAAAAAATAAAAAAATAAAAAGGGCCGGCCCTGTAGCTCACTCGGGAGAGTGCAGCGCTGGTAGCGCCGAGGCCACGGGTTCGGATCCTATATAGGGATGGCTGGTGCACTCACTGGCTGAGTGTGGTGAGGACGACACCAACCCAAGGGTTGCGATCCCTACCAGTCAAAAAAAAAAAAAAGAAAATTTGTCCACACGAGGTCATGAAGAAATAGGAAGGCAACAGATACTTTCAAATCCAGGGGGACTGTGACTTGCCTCTGCCTCCTAGTGACTGACAAGTGCTAAGGATGTCTCGGTCACAAAGAAATCACAGGGAAGAGAGATCTGGCTGGAGAGGAGAGGCAATGGCAAAGGCCACCTGGTGGGGATGACCCAGATTCATTCATGAGTCCTCACCACCCCACTCCACATAGGGGCTACCAATGGTCCTGCTAACAGAGGAGTCCCTGGTGCTCAGAAGGCCAAGGCCACGCTGGACAACCTTCCTGGGCTCTCTTT